CGTGTCATGCCTCTGGTAGGCTGGCTACGGCTGGGGCTGTCTACCCTGGGGGGCGCGCTGGCAGGGCCCTGGGCCCTCCCGTGCGTCCTCCCGTGCGAACTCCGCGCTAACTCACGCGCTGGCAGAGAAGCGCACCTGTTTGCGCAGCCTGTTCGCATGGCTCCCTGGGGGGCTGGGCGAAGTAGGGGCCTGGGTGGGGCTTGACCCAGCCCGGCTCCACTCAGCCGCTTCCTTCCACACACACACTAAGGGGTTAGCCCCCTCTCTCCACGGGCCCCGCTTACCCCGGCTGTGCTGGGGGTCGGCGGGGGGCTCCGCGGCTGCTGGAGGGTTTTGGGGGGCTTCTGGGGAGCAGGGGCGCAGTGAGCTTTCACCCGCGCGTCTCTCGCCGCTTCCGAGCCTAACTGGGCTTTTTTCCCCGGTCGGCGGGCCCTTTTAAACTGCGCGCATGCGCAGTGGGCCTGCCATCGAGGAAGTTGCTCTTAGGGCAATAAGGGGGCCCTATAAGTTTAGAAAGTTTAGAAATAAGTTTAGAAAGTCCTGTCTTGGATGGGGATGGACTTAGTTTGGGAAGCTATGCACAGTTTGAGACTGACAAGCCTAGAGAGAAAGCTTGAGACTATTTAAAATTGGTGAATTATTAGAAATAGAGATTTGTGTGGCTTGAGGCCACGGGGTTTTAAAGTGTGGAGGTAGAGGTGGTATCTGAATAGAAGGTTGTGAGAAGTATATTCGAATCATTAAATTTTGAAAAACATTCCAAAAAGCAGTCCAAAGATGTTTCAGGGGTCTTTGCCTTTTGCACAAGAGATTAGCCCCTTAAAGTACATCTTACAGAAATGTGGGCATAGTCCTTGGACAGAGCAAGCAGTAGCAGATGCTTGTACAATTCCAGATTTGGAAGATAAATTTAAAAAATATGTGGAATTATATAATAAACCCCACATTCTATAAAAAAGATGCTGCTGGAATATGGCTCTTATGGGAAGCCTGCAAAAATGCATTTATTCACCTGGCAGATAGCCGGGAAGAAAATGCTTCCTTGAAAAAACCCTACCTATGGGGACTTTTTACCATCTTGTACCATCTACACTTTTCCCAGAGCCTGACGAAGGAACTTTGATCCTGAAAGCTTACAGAAAAGGACAGTTTTCTTGCCATTTTCCAGTTGGTCTAATAAAAGGTATCATTTTGGAACCAAGAGTTCTAGTTTTTTGTATGTCCTTGAACAAACAGCTCATTCAGATCCCAAGAGACTGAGAAAATTGGAAAGCGACAGCAACAGAAGCACAAATATATGTAGATTTTCTTTAAGAGGTTTTAAGGGAAAGGAAACAGGAGAGAATGAAATTAGAAGAGCAGGCAGCAGAAAAGGTTAAAATAGAGCATGAAAACCACTTCCTTCAGGGAATGGTTAAACTAACCTTGAAGCAAGGTAGAGCCCCCGCTAATCACACTCATTGCGATTTCATCATTATTGAATATTATAATCAATAAACACAGCATCTTGCCTTATCCCCCTCATAAGCTCTCACTCATCATTTGGGCAATTGGTTATTTGTGCAACAAGGGTCCCGCCCCCACTGTCCTTAAGTGACACCCTTAATGGCTCCCTCCATGTCTTTTCTGAATTTAGATCTAGCTGAGTGATTTTCAACTGGGGTGCTGCAAAATCAGAAGAGTTGTGGAGTGGTGTCTTGAAGCCAAAAAGGTTGAGAACTACTGGTATAGAGACTAATCCCCTTTGCTTAAAGAAAGATGTACTCAGTGTTATTTTTGACAGTACATCTCAGCACTGCTATGATTTCCTCTGGTAGGGAATGCAATATGTTTTGAAAAATAAATACATGCGCACCATTTTTGGCATATGAGAGAAGTGTGCCACCGATTTTAACCCAGGAAAAAAGTGTGACCCAAATGTCAAAAGTTTGAAAAACACTGACATAGTGAATCTGTGGAACTCAGTGCCACAGGAGGCAGATGCTATAACCAGGTTCAAAAGGGGATTATACAGTTTATAGAGGACAGGTTCATTGAGAGATAGTAAATGGAAAAGTTAGGACATATCCTCTGACATTCCTAAACAAACGCTGGTTGATGTCAAGGAGCAGATGACAGGGTTACCCTAGTTCATTGGCTCTCAAACTTTTTAGAGTCAAAGCACTCCTCAGAAAATGCCAGCTCTTTGTTTTCTCCTTTTTTTTTCTACTACAGAAAAATAACAGTGCAATTGTGCTTTTCTGTGGCACAGAATTCAAAAACATTCTGTCCTGTTGTGGTCTACCATTATGGATTCCTATTTGAAATCTCTGGATGTATCTTGTGGCACCCCACAATACCCTTGAAAGGATCTCAAGGCACCATCATGTGTCATGGTGTACCATGTTCATATGCCCTAGCTCAGTTCCTGTGCTCCCTTTCTAAAAAGTATCTACTACTTGCTACTGGGTTAGATTGACCGCTGGTCTGACTCAGCATGGCACCCTGCTGAAAAAAAATAAAGGTTTTAAATGGTGGTGAGATTTCCAGTGCTTGACATCAGATAAGTTTATGAGGAAAGCAGGATGGCCATTTCATAGATGCATGTACTGTGCACCACTGCTGTCCACACTTTTCAGTCTGAGGGGTAGATACCTGGTTACAAAAGGGCAAAGAGACTGCTATCACTGCTCTGCCATGCCCTGTTCCCTTTGTACCTTCTGGCACCATAAGGGAAGCAGAAGCTGCCCATAAGTCGCCTTCTGCATAGGATCTCTCCAGCTCCCTATGTGAAATCACACAGGGATGCAAGCAGCTCTTGTATCTTCCTCTAAAGCCCCTACTTCAGGAAGCATGGCAGAGCCAGGAAGGGGACTGGCTAGAGTAGGCAAAAGACAGCCCACGGGCCGGTGTGATTCAATCCAGCCTGTGGTGAGTCCCTTGCCTCAGCCAACCCAGGCACAAGGGACAGCTTGGGCCATGGCACATACTGTTGGTCCCATCACCCTCAGGTGCAGGGGTGCCACCTGGGGGCCCAGGGAAGAGCTGTAATCTACTCCCTGCATGTCCATGTGATGAGCACTGGCCCCATGCTGTTACTACACCATGATCCTGGCCCTGCCCTGCCCACCTGTCCCACTCCTAGATGCCACTGTCCCTGTGCATGGCTCTTGCGCACGCCTGGAGCTGTAGTCCACAGGGCTGGGCAGCAGAACTGCAGGGCAGGGGCAGCACAGCAACTGAACTCAGCTTCCCAGCAGCCCCTGCCACTGCCACCTGGAAGTGTGCGTGTGCCCTGTCATCACTACCACTGGATCTGGCCCCACTGTCCAGGCCCATCTGCCCTGCACTCTCCACCAGGAGTGCCAGCTGGAGCAGGTGGGTGGGCAGGGTCTCCATGGAGACTGACCCAGGACCCTTGTGGGCAGGGCACACTAGGCCAGATGGATGGGATGAGGCTGCAGGCAGTCAGTGGCATCCAAGAGTGGGACAGGTTGGCAGGGCCAGAGCCAGGATCATGGAATGGTAACAACATGGGGCTAGTGCCCATCACATGGACATGCAGGGAGTGGATCATAGCTTTTCCCTGGCATGAGTGACCAAATTTGTCCTATTAATTTATATCTGTGAATCCTATTAATCTTACTCAAGAAACAGAAGCAAGCAATTCTCTGACACTGATCAGAATATGCTTGCTACTTGAAATATGGTCAACATTCTAACCAGCTGCCTAGGGAAGTTGTAGAATTTCCTTTAGTGAAGGCTTTCGAGAAAAGTGTGGATAGTATGCATCTGGGATGGTTTACAGAGAATCCTGCATGTAGGCAGGGGGTTGGATGAGATGACCCTTTGAAGTCTTTTTCCAACTTTAGGATTCTAAAATAAGGCCCAGTAAACTGCATTAATATGCTGTTGGACCAAACATCTGGAATCTGTGCATTAGTACCAGTTCCCCTCTAGCATTTATTCTTAGTGTGCAGATACACACTAAGGCTTGAGGAAGTTTAAAAAAGGCAGCAGCTGGTGTGGTACCCTTGTTAGGTATACCTAACATCCTGTTCTCTAAGCATCTGTGTTTTATTATTTAAAAATAGTGAATCATTATTCAATGACTGATTATTTTTAATACAAGGAATCATTATTAATGGTCACAGGTCAAATCTTTACTTATCAGCAATATAATTAAAACCTCACATTTTTCATGGTAAGTGTGTCTGAAAATTGGATTATATCCCATATGCTTTAAAATGTTTTAAGAAAAACAGTTAGGGTAGGGGTTTTCAACCTTTTTTGGTCAGGGTACACCTGGCGGCCGGTGGAGAAGCAGGGAGTCCCCTGGTGGCCGGTCAACAGGGTGGGGAAGGGGAATCCCACGCGTGTGGCAGCAGAACCAGAAGTGCCGGCAGCTTCTCCGTACTGCTGCCATGTACCCCCTGGACCGTTTCAAAGTACCCCTGGATGAAAACCCCTGTGTTAGGGTTATCCATAATATGTAAAGCTCTCATCCCTAACCAGTGAAATTACCTGAGAAAAAGACCACAAACTACTCACCCTTATGCCCTTGCTCTTGGAAGAAGCAGTTTCATAATGCCAATTTTCTACCTGCACTGAGGGAAAAAATGCAGAGTGCAGTCAGATGGTGAGTGAGTTGTCACATGGGACCTTAGCAGACTGTATTACATGTAAGAGATGAGAAAAGGCAGAGTTCAGCATTTAAACACATTAATATTTACACTGTAAAAAAAAAAATGTTTGCTTATGAAAATATTACAAGACATTGTTCTCAGATCTGCAGTAAAAATGTTGGTTAAATTTCTGGAGAGAAACAATGCAATTACCTGAATGAAGGTCACTGCACTTTAACTAATAAGAACTGTACTCAGGGAGAAAGGTGGATACAGTTGCTTTGCTGAGCAGTTGAAATTAAAATTGACATGCCTAACTAAAATAGCAATGTCAGCAGCCACTTGAGTATCAATGGGCTGTACTGATGGAATGCATAGCATTCATTATGCACAGCAGGTTGAAGTCGGCCCAGATTAAGTTATAAGCCATAGGCATTGTTATAATGCCATTATATATAGTACTTGTCATCTTCAAAAGACTTTACAATTATCTAATTAATGTCACTATACTGTAGTTTGTATTATGTCAAGATTTCCTTAACAAGTGCTAACTTCCTTGGAACTATGTCCTAAACAGAATAATTTGCTCTGGGCTGTTATTAACTACAAGTGTGCATGCGCGCACGCACGCACGCACACACATACACACACACACTTTCTGGGCTGCATTAACTACAAACACACACACGCGGGGTTTTTTAAGGAAAATGTTTATTTGGCCATCAGGGTAGGGGGACTATGCTTGTGCCAGGTTCAGATAGCTGCAGCATAAATGCAGGTAAGATGTCACGCTAGCAGATGGCCTTGGCTCGATATATCAGACCTAACACATGGAGATTCCACTCTCTACACTCACAAACATAAATACTGAAAAGTACAGCAAAATATACCCCACATGACACTGCAAGGCAACTACATTAGGGGGTCACAACTGTACTGCAAATTTTACTTTACCTGTCAGAATTCAGCCACAATGGGGGGGATTTTCTGCTACCACATCAACTTAAATGGACTGAGAGAGTCTCCGGTCAAAGGGCAGACCAACAGTGCAGACTCTGTACAGAGCAGCTCCTGCTGTAGTATGAAGCCCCGAGAAAGAAGGATGTGCTACCACTGTCGACAAGGGGCGAGGAACAGCTTGCTGTAATACAGGGTGATAATAAGCTTTGCTAGGCCTTAATGGCTGGTGCATCAGCCCAGAACTAGAAGAACACAAAGGAGCTTAAAGCCACCATGGTCACCTACCTTTCCTACCCAGGCTGAGAGACCTGTGCGCCCATAGCAAAGAAGCTAAATGAATACTTTATGTTGTTCTTTATTAGAAAGGATATTCAGGAGATCCACACAAGATCCATTCTTCTTAGTGGATGAATATAAAGAATTGGCTTAAATTCAGGTGAGGATAGATGAGCAGGGATCCAGGTTTTCCATTTGCCATGGAAAAATGGATTTTTCCCTTTAAAGGAGAAAAATCCCAGGAAACTGTGGGTTTCCATTGCAGGCTAGCAGAGTTCCAGCCTGCATGGGGCTGCTGGGGGGAACGGGATGCCAGGAGTGCCACATGCATGTGTGCATGCACATACGCATATGGTAGCCACCAGGCAGTGTGGTGGAAAGAAGCTCCCACAGCTCCCTCCAGGTAAGTCTATGGAGACAAGAAGGGGGTGCACAGGTAACATGTAGGTGTAATACAGGGTGGTAATAAGCAGGTGGGCACAGGTGACAGGGCAGGGGGGAATAGGCAACACATCAGAGGACCAGGGAGAGCACAGGTGAGGTGGTGGCGGGGCGTGTACCCCCCCAATTTCTTTGCCACAGCCCAGCAAGAGGGACCCAATGCAGGAGGAAGCATTGTGCCACCATGCCTGCCAAGGTGAGGTGCCCCCTGACCAACCAGCAGCAGTGGGGGCCACACACAACTCCACACTACCACCACTACTGCAGCTCACCTTGGCAGCCATGGCAGTGCAGCGCTCCCTCCTGCACCAGGTCCTGCCTGCTGGGCCGTGGAGGGGGACCTGCCCAAAGCTGATCCAGCCTAGCTGCCCTGCTGTGGGTGCAGAATATAGGGGGGGAACATGCTTCCCCCTGCCCCTCTGCTGCATTACCTGAGCCCAAAACCCCTTCCCCACACACCCACCCCATTCCCCATACACTGAGGGTCTGGGGGCAGCATGTCTGGAGTGAGGGGTACCAGTAGGGCTGGGGGGGCTCTGGGTCAGGAGTGAGGGGCACCAGCATGGGCAAGGGTAGTGCAATGGCATATCTGGGCTGCTCAGCATCACAAAGCAGTGGGGGAAGGGGGGGACAGGCACAGCTGGACCTATGTCCTGGTGAGTGAAGGGGGCAGGAGCAGCTCTGATTTTCCATGATAAATAAAACCAAAATTAAACACCAAAATATACAGTATTTAGCATTTATTTTATTTTAATTATTAAGGCACTGGTAGGCTTCCAAATTACTTTAAAATTGTAAATATATCAATAAAACATTGTGTTCAACTAATACCTATATACACAGTGACATTTCATTTTAATCATGAAAAAAAGCAGATGTTAGGGGTTTTAATCAGAGAATTTGGGATTTTTAAATAGAGCAAACCAGGATACCTGTATGAGGTTTCAGACTAACTTGATAAATTGAAAAGCAACAGGGAGTGTTTTACCCAGCATTCTGAAGAAACTCAAATATGACACTAAACAACTGTTAGAAAAAATACACAACCCATCATCAAACCAGCCTCAGTGCCAGAGAACTGGAGGGTTGCCAATCTTTAAGAAGGGCTCCAGAAATGATCCAGGGAACTATGGAACCTCTGTTCCCAGCAAATAGGTAGGATCAATCATAAAAAAAAATAAAATTAATTGTCACCTGGTTAAATATAAGAGGCTGGAAAAGAATCAACATGTTTTTTCGTGAAAGGAAATCCCATCTCACAGGAGAGGTATTAATCTGCTGGGGTTCTTTCAGAGTATCTGCAAGCATATGGACTGGGGGGATGCTCTCAATATACTGTACAGCACATCTGCGATGCAGACAGACATAACACTTGAACCATTCCAAGAGTGTCACCAATTGGATACAAGTTCACAATTGTCCCTGGACAGAAGCGTCTGTGTGTACACTGCTAAAGGTTGTAAGTGCATTACCTTTTATGGCAAGGTTGGGCAAAACAGTGGATCCAGTCAGCAGTCTGACTCCATTTCCCAGCAGCCCCTTCCTACCTTACTGCAGCTGGTTTCCATGGAGACCCCAGAAGCAGCAGAGACCAGCTTCAGCAGCACTGGCAGGGCATGTAACCGGGGAGGGAGCTGCTGCGGAGCCAAGCTCTTGCAGTGGTGAAGGCATGGTCCACAGCCAGAGCAGAGCTGCAATCCGCTGCCTGCATAGCCCTGCTCAGGGCATGCAGGCAGCAGATTGCAGCCCTGCCCTGGCTCCAGATCACGCTATCACTGCTGCAGGATACCAGCCCTGGAGCAGCTCCCACCCTGCCAGCGCTGCTGGGGCTGGTCTCTATGGAAACCTTGGCCCCACACTATCACTGCTCCAGACTTTGCCCACCCATGTTTTAGGGATTGGGCTGCTGTCAAAATGCCACCAGAGGGTGGTGGAGTACCCAGACCATCATGTCTTTCAGGGATCAGTGTTGTTTCCCTAGGATTCCGGTAGAGAGGGAGGAAGACACAGATCTACTGAACACCAAGAAAGAAAGATTTTGTGGTCCACAGTTGCAATTTCTGCTTCCCCTTCTCAAAAAATGAGCTGTGTAATTTAGGATGCCTAGAGGCCAGGATGCTCTGTGTCTGCATGTAAGGAGGCTGAAGAGGAGCTACAGTCATAGGCACCGCAGTGACTCCATGGGTGCTCTGGGGCTCAAGCACCCACTGAAAAAAATTAGCACCCACAGAAGCACGCTTGCAGACATTAAAAACAACAACAAACATCCTTTAACGGAAGAAGCAGGGTGTTACCTCAACCCGACTCTGCAGCATCTGTAAAAACCAGGTGCTTCAGCAGTGCTTTTTGGCACTTTTGGCTAAAGCAGATTCAATCAGCTATTGGATAAAAGTACCAAAAAAGCCCCACTAAAGCATCCAATCTTTATAGACACTGCAAAGCCAGGTTGGAGTAAATGGGCATGTGCGGACTCGGCACAGGAATGCACAGAGTTAAAATTAAAATGCCATTTGTTTGGGTTGGGTTTTTTTACATCTGCAAGCACCCACCAGCGAAAAACAAAAGTCAGCACCTATGACTACAGTCTGGCGTACCCTAGATACCCATGTACCAGGCTCTCCCTCTGGCTGTAAAAGAGGGAGTCTGTTAAGTGTGCCTGGTACACACCCATGCTGGAAGCTCCATCCAGGAGCTGCCAACCTAGCTCTCCAGTGGGTTGTGGGATTAAAGGAGAACACACGCTAATCCACTCAGCGCCTCACCCTCAGCAAAAGTGTCCCATTACCTGGTGTATGGGTGGGACACAAGTGAGAAAAGGAGAGGGGTGGTTGAATGCTCTTGGAGGCAGGAAATTTGGTGTGAAGACCTTTGATGTAACCTAGTAGTATTTTTGTTCTTATCAAAACTTGGTTCCTGTACCATACCTGTCGTACAGACCAGGTCATACCAGCCTTCATTCTGCCACCTTCACAAGCAGCAAGGCTAGGTTCATTGGGAGATGGAGACAAAAGCCCAGAGATAAGTAAAGAGTCAGGGGACTTGGGAAAAAACTTAGTAAGGGGAAGCTATAGCAAAAGCCTTAGTTATGTTCTCAGAGAGAAAATAGGATGATCAGTGATACCTGAAATGTATAGACTAATGCAAGGAGCATAGGAAACAAACAGGAAAAATTGGAGGTAATTGGGATTATGGAGAAGTGGTGGGATAATTCACGATATGAGTAGTCACAGATGGGTACAACTTGTTCAGAAAGAATAGGCAGGGGGAAAAAGGAGTTGCCATATATATGGGTGTGGGGGGGTGTAGGCAATATATGTATATTGTGAAGTGCAGTGTGAAGCCTCTGGGTAAAGGTCAGCAGGGAAGATGTCATGGTAGGCATTCACTACATCACCGAATTTGGAGGAGGAGGTAGACACAGCTTTCTTTAAACAAATCACAGAAGCCTCCAAATCACAGGACCTGGTTCTTAGAGGGGACCTTAATTATCGGGACATCTGCTGGGAGGGAAACAGCAACTGGACAAGCAATTCAGCAAATAATTTTTGATACAGATGATACAGAGGACAACAAAAGGGGAAGCTCTTCTCAACTTCCTACTCACAAACAGGGAGAAATTGATTGAAAATGTGAAGGTGGAAGATAACATGGATGAGTGACCACAAAATGATGAGTTCCAGATCCTAAGGGGAGAAGAGAGGGAGAGCCGCAGAATAAGCACACTGGACTTCAGAAAAAGCAACCTTTAGTAAACTCAGGAAATTGGTGGGCAGGATCCCCTGAGAGACAAGTCTGAGGGGAAAAGGAGTCTAGGAGAGCTGACTGTACTTCAAGGAGGCCTTTTTTAAGAACACAGGAACAAACTATCCCAATGCAATAAAAGAGTGGAAAGTGCAACCAGAGGCCAGCCAGAGAGAAAATTAGGAAGACAAAGTCACACATTTTGAAAAGCAAATGGCAAGGGACATAAAAGGCAATAAAAAAGGGATTCTACAAGTAGAGGTAACCCTCGCCATTCATGGGGGCTACGTTCCTGTGATCCCTGCGAATGGTGAAATCTGCGAATAGGGCATTGCGTTCATGCACAGTCTGTGTTCATGAAGGCAGCGGCCCCAGCGGCTGGGGGGGAGGGCATGGCTCCAGCGGCGATGGTGGGAACACAGCAGCAATGGTGGGAGCCCAACAGCAGTGGTGGGCAGCAAATGCGGAGCTCTAGTAAGTGTTTAAAGTGTATTTAAAATGTGGGTTCAGCATTCGTGAATATTTGAAACAGTGAATGCTGAACCTGCGAACACTGAAGGTTTCCTGTATGTCAGGAGTAAGAGGAAGACCACGTGGTAATTTCAGAGCCACTGACAACTCATGGAGGCCAGGTAAAGTACTAGAAAATTGGAAAAGGACAAACATAGTGCCCATCTTTAATAAAGAGAAGGAGGATCTGGACTAGTACAGGCGAGTCAGCCTGACTTCAATACCTGGAAAGATCATGAAGCAGGTTCTTAAGGAATCTATTATATTGTGAAGCACCTAAAGGAAACCAAAGTGATCAGGAACAGTCAACATGGATTCACCAAGATCCCAGCCCTATCACAGATCCTGGATCCTAGCCCTACCTTCCAGAGCATCTGCTTCCATTCCACCTAACATATACCTTAACCTAGCAAGGCTTTTGATGTGGTTTCCCATGACACTCATTAGCAAGCTAAAGAAATGCAGACTAGATTAAAATAATGTAAGGTAGATACAGACTACAATGTAAGGTTGGATCATCATGCTCAAAGTAGTCATCAACAGCTCAATGTCTAGTTGGGAGGTTGTATCAACTGGGATTCACCAGGGGTCTGTCCTGGGTCTGGTATTGTTCAACATCTTCATTATTTGGCCAAATGGATTGTGTGAATTTAGTAAATTTGTGGATGACGCCAAGCTAGATGGAGTTGCAAACACTCTGGAGAACAGGGCTAGGAGCCCAAATGACCTGGACAGACTGGTAAATGGTCTGCAATCAGATGAGGTTCAACAAGGACAAGTGCAGTCCTGTACTTGGGACAGGCTAACTACATGCACAAATACAGACTGGGGAATGACAGACTAAGCTGAAAAGGACCTGGAGATTACAGTAGACCCTAAACTGTGTATGAGCCAACAGTGTGCTCTTGCTGCCAAACAGGAACAGCGTCCTATATTGTATTAATACAATGTTAGGGGTCAAGAGAGCAGGCCTTATGACAGACTGAGGCCCATGGGACTCTTCAGTCTGGAAAAGCAAAGGCTCAGGAGTGACTTGGTGGCAGCTTATAAGTATACAAGGGGTGTGCATCAGGAACTGAGAGAACATTTGTTCACCAAGGCACCCCAAGGGAAGACAAGGTCCAAAGGTCACAAATTCCAGGAAGACATTTTAGGCTGGACATAAGGAAAAACTTCTTTACTGTCCAAGTCTCCAGAGTGTGGAACATACTCCCCCCAGAAGTGGTGCAAGCACCTACTCTGGATACCTTTAAAAAATGCTTGGATGCTTATCCTGCTGGGATCATATGACCCCAGCTGACTTCCTGCCCCTTGGGCAGGGAGCTGGACCCAATGATCTCAGGAGGTCCCTTCCAGCCCTAATGTCTATGAGATCTATGAGTTACATTTGCTAATCAAAGGAAGTGACTTCCACTCTACTGAGCACTGGTGAGGCCTCCCCTGGAGCACTGTCGGGTTTCAGGCCTCACACTTCAAGTTGGACATGGACAGTTTGGAAACAGTCCAGGGCTGAAAGCAACAAACACGATCAGGGGCCTGGGAGATCAGACTGGTGATGAGAAAAGGTTGAAAGAGCAACGGTTGTTCAGCCTGGAGAAGAGGAGACAGAGGGGGCTGGACAACAGTCTCCAATGCGAGGAGGGAGCCCAGAGAAAGCGGAGATGGGTCCGAGGGGACAAGACTAGGAGCAACAGGTTCAAACTGCAGCAGGGGGTCAGGAAGGGAATCCGGAGGCGCTTCCTGCCCGAGGGGGGTCACGCCCTGGAGCAGGCGCCCAGAGCTGCGGCCCCCCCGGGAGAGCTCAGGAGCAGGCGAGGCAGCCCCAGCACCACCCTCTCGCAGCCCGGCCTTCCTGGGCCCCCCATATAACTCTTCTGGCCCCCGGCGACAAAGCTCTCGCTGCCTTTCCAGCAGCGGACGAAGACAAAGCGGCCCCGGCCCCCCGGCCCCAGCGTCAGCAGCCCCGCCCCCGGGTTGCTATGCCTACCGCGAACCCGAGCCCAACTCGCGCCGTCAAACAGGATCGCCCAGGTGGGACCCGCGCAGGCTCAGTCGCAGTCTCTCGCTTGTCTTTAAGCCACGGCAGATTTCCCACCCCCCACGCACCCACCCAAGTCTACAAAGGCAACCTCTTCGGCGCATGCGTACCCTGGCTTCACTAGAGGTGGGCGAGCCGCAGAAGAACATCCGGCTAGAGCCACCCTCGCATTGCGCACGCGTCGCTGGCGCCTCCAACAGGTAGCGGCGGAGCGCTGGGAGGTTCTGCGTCCGGGTTAGCACGTGGCACCGCCCGGCCTGTTCCGCTTGCGCGGCATCTGCTTCCGGGGCATAGCTGGAGTCCTTTGACCTTTGCCCCCCGCAGAGGCGCTTCCGGCTGGCGGCTTGACAGAGCTGTGGGGCCTGCGGTGCGAGGACCTGCATTGCGGGCACGATGGTGAGCGCTGGGCAGCTCCGTGGGGGTGGGGCCCGTGCCGTGCCGTGCCGTGCCGTGCTAACACTGTCTCTATCTCACTTTCTCTAGGCTCGAAACGCAGAGAAGGCCATGTAAGTACCGCCCCCGGAGCCCAACCTCGCGTGCCGGGGCGGAGCGAGAGCGCCTCACGGGAGGCCAGAATCCAAGCCCCGCTCGCAGGGCGCACCAGCAGGGTGTCTACCCGAGGCAGGGGGTGCACAGATCAGCATGGAGCCTTCTGGGTGTTCCGTTTCAAGCCGTAGCTCAAGTCACCTCTTTCTGGTGCTGCAGCGCAGTTACCCTGGCCGCTTACCTGCTCTGCCCTGGTCACCTGTAAGCATGGGCCACCTGTTGGATGCCAGACGTCCTGCAGGCAGGAGCATCTGCTCCATGGTACTGGCACAGCATAGTGCAGTACAGACTCAGAGTAGACCGGGGATGGGCAAAATACAGCCCATGGGCAGGATTCGGTGGCCAATGGATCCTGTCCAGCTGCGGCAGGTCCCTTGGCCCTGCCTGGCCCAGGTGCATGTAGCCAGTCCCATAGCCCCCAGGCGCACAGTGGGACAGGGCAGGGGTGGCATGCTGGTGTTGGCTTCCCAGCAGCCCCTGCAGGAGCAGCTTACTCCCTGGATGCCATTGGCAGTGTCTCTGTTGCCTCTACCAGATTTGGCCCCATTGTCCAGACATCCCAACCTGTCTGTCCCACACCTACCCCTGGGGGTACCGGATCGAACAGGTGGGTGGGGTCTCCATGGGGACTGGCCTGGGACCCTTGCGGGCAGGGCATGCTCCACTGGGTGTATGGGATGCAGATGGGGAGGAGTGTCTGGGAGCCGGGCCTGGGGTTGGGATTGCAGGGCAGTGACAGCCCAGGCCTGGGGCAGAACTGTGATGATCTCTCCCCACAGATGATCTCTCCCATCACAGGGTTGTGTAGGGAGTGGATCATGGCTCTGCCTTGGACTTTGACTCTGCACTATCACCGCCCCGCGATCCCAGCCCTGCCCACCTGGCCCACTCCTGGACATTGCTCCCTGCCTGCCCTCAGCCCCATCCCATCTGCCTGACTGAGAGCATCTTGTCCACAGAAGTCCTGGGCCAGTTTCCATGGAGACCCTTCCCTAGTGCTCCTAGCAGTGGGTGCAGGGTGGATGGACCTAGTACAAAATAAGATCAGTTGCCCCCTCTGCTGCATCAGGCCAGGTCAGCATCTCTTCCCACCCCCCCACCCCCTGCATAGCCCATAACAACTCACCAAAACTCTTTTAGTGGTCTTCCAGACCAAATAATTGCCCCCCACCCTGTAGTAGAGCTTGCCACCATGTTGGGCAAGGCTTTTTATTCCTCACCTGGCTTGTTCTTGTTGCATGCTGCTCTTTCCTGTCCCTTGTTTGGCTCCTATGAAAAGTGAAGAGAGGGCTTGTACCTCCTGCCAGTTGTGCCAGAAATGAATGAAAGTCGAAGGTGTAAGTCCCTGAATCTGAGGCTGGGGGGGTCTATAGAGTGATTTTATGTTTGCCCCTGGCCCTTCTGAAAGGATCTTCTTTGTCTCAAGCAACTCTGTTCATAGACTGGGAACAAGGTGTACCTTGAAGCATTATCAGAAGGCACATGTACAGATATATATGTCTGGTAAAACAGTCTGAGGCATGACAAAAACATACCTGGAAGGTGTGCGCATGTATGGTAGGTCAGTCCTCCAGCCATCCTACAGTCAGTGCTTCCCTTGGCCCCCTGGTGGGGTGCCTCATGGACTCAGTTCTGCTCCCTGCTGCTGAGTCAGTTTTCAAGTGCTTTGTCTGGGTGATGTAGCAGGGTATGTCAGCATGCACCTAAAACACTCATTTAAGAAAAAAGTTCAAACCCTATGACACTTAGATATAACATTTGAAATGTTTCAATTTTTACTCTGAGAATATTAGAGACATAACATTGTGAGGCAACATATAGCAGTCATTGATTCCCTTGTAGTTGCCCTTTAGGAGGGTAAGTAGCTTGGGGGGGGTGGGGGCAGAATACCAAGGAAACTCATATTTTCAATTTTAAAAAAAGGAAAGAAAAGTGTATTAATCCACTACAGGTCATAAGTGGTCTTTACTGAAGCTGTTATGACAGAAAAATGTTTTTGAAATGTCATATTAAAGTACAAGGCAATCAAGCGTGTTACTTTGAATGTTAAATCTCACAAACCATCCTCTCTAGATGACAGCACGTTTCGCTGGTGTTGGCTGATTTGCTTAGTGGCTTCTTCAATGCTAAATGGTTTAAGTGGAAATACTGGAAAAATTCTGACTCTTAAATAATCAGAGGAACGTAAATGTTTTTTTAAAAAAATGAATCGCCAACTAATGTTGCCATTGAGAACATCACGGTGCTGAAGAAGCCTCTAGCCAAAGCACTCAGTGATCATAAGTGTAATAATTGTATGTGTCCCTGAAGAATTCAGTTCACTAAATCCCTTGAAAACCTAACCGTAGGGGCTTGTTACAGGGAGAATGTAGCTGTAGAAGTAAAAAAGCAAACTAACTTATTTTTCTATTTAGGACGGCCTTGGCAAGGTTTCGCCAAGCTCAACTTGAGGAAGGGAAAATTAAGGTAGGATGGAAAAAAATTATTTTCTTTTTAGTAATCGATCGGTGGTTTTTTAATGTGCTCAAATTAGTGCTCACTTATTTTGTACAGAATGTGAAGGGATGTGCAGTTTTTCATCACAGTGTTCCCAGATATTGTCCCAGGACTGGCTGCTGCATACAGACTATGGAAGAAAAACAGGGGATAAAATAGAGTTTTTCAAAATGGCAGGGCAACACAGATATTAAGTTTTCTGCAGATGCTAACTAAAAACTCTGCTAGAGGGGTAACTTCAGTTTGGCTGCTAGGGGAAAAGGTGAACCGTGAACCTGCTTAAATCGTGGAGAGAAAGCAAAGGTGATAATTAAAGTAGAAGCCAGATGTCTTGATTGTAGAATAAGGAAGAGGTAGCTGCATAATAACTTGGAAAGAAATTCTAAAAACGTAAATGTAAGATTTGAAGTTATCTTCTGCTAACGTAGTATGCATTAACTGATCAGTGGTGGTCCTGATCATGGGTTTTGTTTGGCTTTTTTCCCAGTCAGCCCAGGAAAGCTAGAAGAGCTCTTGTATGATCTTTTGTTCCCTGGTAGTGCCCTGGCAAAGTAGCAACTATTCAGCATTCTGTATCTAGGGGCATTCTGAACTCGGGATTTACACATGACCTGACAATACTGAGGCATAAGTTAGGCATGTGGTGTTTCACTTTACATACATCTATTCTTAAATGTCATAACTTGCATAGTTGAATCTAACTTCAAATCATTATAGACAGGCACAAGAGATGAAGGAAAAATTGACTGAAGTGTCTGTGTTTTACAAAACCACTGGTGAAGAGATTGGGTCCAGAAGCTAAATGGAACCTGTAATTTTAGCTTCATATTTCTAAATCTCCACAAGTGGACTGTTACATCTATACAGAGCCTTCGTGACTTCATTGAGATGTGATGTAGGTGCAAGAGTCCATGTACTTGGGCCTTGCAACTTTTTGGTCATTATCAGGATATTTTTTTGTTCTGGTAGCTTTGTCAGAAGAATGTTACAAAATCCAGTAGAAGGTTTTACTTTAAGGTTCCATTATTTAGATTTCTCCTCCAAGGATTGAGACTTACGTCTCTGAGAATGACCTAAAGCAGCACAGTAGAAAATAGCATCTGGAATTATTGCATCTAAAACATTCTTTAAAAAAAAGAGGCTTTCAGAAATTGCTGGTTATAGTTGGGAGGTTTTTGGCACATCCTAACTGGGAGGCTGGTCATGCATAAAACAATGTTATGAAAGAAGGTGTGGAAGTGAGGCATGGACGAAGCATAGGAATAGGTACTAACAAGCAGATAAGTAGGTAGCCTGAAAGGTAAGGGAAAAAGTCTGATCTTCAGTTTGCAGTAATTAAGGTCAGTGAGTTGTGTAGAAAATGTGGGGAAGACATTGTTAGAAGCAGGAAAGAGAAGTGCATTTTTGTAGCAGTGTTATGGATAAATTGTAAGGGAGGAAGATGAGAGACCTGGAAGCTCATTTCATCCACCTGGAAAAACTAGATTGAAACCTTAGCAGTAAGAATAGAAAAGGAGTGATCAGGCTTAGCTGTAGAAAAGTAATAAACTACCAAGGGACTAAGATGTGGGCAGAGGACTACAGGTATCTCTCTGCCTGAGCTACAGTGATCAGTGTGAAGCTAGCGTTGGACAGTGGAAGGGAGAGGCTTTGACCAGAGATGTCAAGTTCTATTTTGGACACTCCAGACTTGAGTTGACAGCTGTGTTCTGTAATAGGATTTCATTCATCATGGCTGCTAGCAAACACCTCTTACTAACACTAAACTGGTGTTAATCATTGAAAGGAGGGGTAAGAGAAAGTGGAAGTAAGAGTGGCTGACACGTGGTAGTAAGGGTGGCTGACTAGCTGAGGGCTAATCCAGTAACAGTGTGGATAATGAGAGCGCATTCTTGAATGCATTGTGAGTGTACTGAACTTCAATCTTAGGTTATTTGAAGCTTATGATATGTCTCTGCTGAACAGGAGCGAAGACCTTTTCTTGCATCAGAGTGTAATGAGTTGCCGAAGGCTGAGAAATGGAGACGACAGGTATGCGCTATAGAGACACTTTTGATTCTTTACAGCAGGGGTCAGTAACATTCTAGCAACAGGAGGCCAAATATAACGCAAGGCTAAAGGCACACCGCTGATCCCTGCCTCTCCTGCCTGCTAACTGCCACTGTTATCCTGGCTTGGCAAGCCAGATGGAATCTTTTTTCAGGCTAACCTTGTTAGAGCCTGGATTGGCAAATGGACCATTTGTTAAAAATGCATAATTTGAATGAAACTTATACCACTGAATTTTAGGAGATTAGTTTTAAAGCATTTCTATCAATATATAAAAAGCCAACATCCTTGTGAATCAGGGTGAGAATATGTGAGCTTTGAATACAGCACTGCCTCAAGCATCTCTTTGCTGCTAGTTCCCTAATGTGAATAGTTAATTAGATTAAGGATCAAGCATTAACTGTGCCAGCACAACGTGAATCTCATTTTAACCTTAATGACCAGTAAATTAAGATAAATTGTTGGTTCCTGTTTGTACAAAGTCTGTACAAGTCTTTAATTTGGACTTAAATACTGTACTTAAACTGTTTACTAAGATCTAAAAATTGCCCTTCCAAATGAGTCTCTCATGTAAGTGTTTTCAGTCATCTATTAGAAACTAGCTTGTGACTGCTAACTTTTACTGGAAAACTAATTTCTAAATACTTGTTTTTTATTTAACCAGATTATTGGTGAAATCTCCAAGAAAGTTGCTCAGATTCAAAATGGTATGTATTTAATTACAGCAAATTGTATGAAACTTCTCTTCCTTTGTTGGAACATGCTGGCTATAAAATCATATTGATTCAGATTTTACTGTTTTAATTGGTATCAACATTTCGTTGCTGGATTGTAGATACAATGACCATTTCAATGTCCAATATATTTCATACAGCTACAGCTAGAAAGTTGCCATCTTTCAGTGTGATGTAGCAGTTTTCTAGCTCTCAGGGTATTAAACTTTCTCCACTAAAATGTAAGGGTGCACTGATAAAGATTTTTTTGGCCGATAGTAACAGCTGATGATTATTAACCAGCCATATTGGCCAATACCGATCTGATAGTTGATATACAGTCTGTTGTGGGGGAAAAGGGGTATGGGGGGGACAGATTAAGGCACCCCATGGTGAGGGAAGGAGTGGGGCAGAGGCAGGCACTGCCCAGCTAGGGCATAGTGGGGTGCAGGATGGAGCTGCAAGCAGCTCATCCGAGGCGGGGTGGGGCGCAGCTCCCCATCACTGTACCTAGCTCCAGGGAGGCATGTTGCCGCCCCCCCCCC